TCAATCAGATTAATTATATCAAATTAATTATTTTAAATATTTTTACAGAATTTTTCATTTTATATAATTTATATGTAAACTGTTTTTATTTCAATAATGAATAATATTATATAGTATAGTTAAAAAATAATTATTTAAATAATTATAATTAAATTATAGACATCCATTTTTTATAGAAAATACATAAAAATGTATAAAAATATATATAATGTTTAAATATTATGTTATGTTTAAAAATAATTGCAATAAAGTATTTGTAATATTTGGATTATAAAATTATTGTTAAATTATTAAATTATTTTGTATTTAATTCTTATTTTTCTAATGATACATATTTTATATAAATAAAAATCTTTATAAAATCATTTATAGAAAATTTTAATTACAATAATAATTAATTTTTACAATTTTTACATATTTTTAATTTTTACATATTAATTAATTTTTTTACAAATTATAATTCTTAAAAAAATTATAATCAGCTTAATTTTATATTTATCAATATATATAGAAAACTTATTATAATATAATATTCATTTCGATTGTTTAAAAATCATATTTATATAAGTTAAGTTGTCAAAACATATATGTATAAGTTATAGTTAATATCTGTTGAATCATTTAAATTTCAAAAGTTATAAAATAATTAAAAGTAAACTATTTTATAGGCTACGATAGAGGAAAAATCTTGTCATGATGATACTGATTGTCCCGATAAACAATATTGTTATCATGTATCGGAGCGATGTGTTGACTTTACCCAGTGCAGCAGGTATAATAGACAAGAAAATAGCGAAGGAAGATCACGACATCCTTCTCGATGTGGACCCTGTTTTCCTGGGTAATTCATTAATTTTTTAATTAAATAAATTTTCTTTCTTTTTCCAATTTTTTTATTAAATATTCATATACTATATATAATTTTATTTTATATATATTTATTAATTCCATATTTCAGTTACACCGCGGAAAGATTAAGTACTGGAGAAATGGCGTTGTTATGTAGAAAAATAAATGCAGAACAAAGTATTTCCGGTAAATAAAAAAAAAATTAATTTGAAAAAAATAAAAATTTTGTTTAAAATCATAATTTTTGTTTGTACTAATTTTTCCTTTTTTATTTTATATAGAAACATATAGATTGAACAATAATATAATTATTTATACAACATTTGGAATATTAACAATTTTTGGAGTATTGACTTTACTTATTATTATATTTTATAAAAAACGTAAGTAATAAATTTAAATATTTTTAATTTTTTTTTTATATAAGTATAAGTTTATTTGAAAGATAAAATATAATTGCAAATATGTAATTCTAGGAACATCAAAACGACAAAATAATAAGATAAAACAAAGCGGAGAACTTCGCGTTATGGAACCCACTGCTCCACCTTTAGAAAATAGTAAGTAATACTTATAAATACCATTATTTTTAAGAACAGCACTAAAAAAAAAATTTATTTAAATAACATAAACGATTATGATTGTTATTAATAAGTAGGTAGATTTATCTATAGCTTATTATCTATTTATTTAAAAATACTTTATTTAATATATTTTTTTTTGATATTTGTAGTAAAACAATCTCAATAAATTCACGCTAAATTGTAAATTAAGATATATAAGCACTGTAGTTTGCAGCTTTTGTGTCTTAATTTTGCACTTTTTAACATTTTCTTATGTGTTTAAAATTACTAACCGTGAAAAAAACGGTTAATTTTGTTTTACGAAAAAGAACAATTATTTCATTACAGTATACCTACCTACTTGAACGCTGAATTTACTTGCGGACTGTTCAGAACGCGGTAATAACATATATAGAATTATGTATGTTACTTGGATAATATTAATATGATGTTTAATATAATTTCTTCATATAAATTATCATTACATTAATATTTTACAGGTCCTTTTATCACTTGCAAAAAAAAGTCATCTCCAGTGCCTTTTAATAATAATAAAAATTTGAAAGATAAGAATAATCTTGTGCGTGCTACTTGTTGTGCACCTCCATATAGGGATCATACAAATTTTAATTATGAAAACGATCAAAATGCAAACGATAATGCAACAGAACCATTACATTACTTGTCTAATCAATCTAACAATTGGACTTCAGAGTAAGTAAATATTTAAAAAAAAAAAGAAAAATATGTTTATTCAATCATAATTATATATGCATAATTATTTTATTATATTATATTATATTATATTATATTATATTATATTATATTATATTATATTATATTATAT